GTGTGTGTGTGTGTGTGTGTGTGTTCCATCTTTTCACAGTATACCAAACAACTGTAGCTTTTACATGTAATATTATGGGAATAGCACTTCTGCGCTATGAGCACATGCTATAAGGTGTATGCTTCTCCATAAAAATACATTCATCGTAGCTATAAACTCAGGCTGAAATCCCAACTTGAGAAATAAACGGTTTATTAGGAAATGAATGGTCCATTGACTCTAAATGTTAAGGGATTTACAAATTAAGATTTGCAGCTCTTGTAGTGTGTGTTCTTTGGGATCATGTTCACGTCAAAGCATGATAAAAAAATCAATAGGGGAATAGAAAAGTAGGGTTAAATAAATATGAGCACATAAAGGGCAGTAATATTAAGTAAAATATCAAGTGCAAGCAGGGCACAAAGAGCATTCCAAGATCAGGAGACTGCCATCTGTTTGTGATCAAATGCTATAATGCAGCATGCTTTATGTCAGTCTGAAGAGCTTTAATAGAGTTCTGCCATTTTTTCTCTCTGTCAAATGAAATACTTTCTGCAATATGTAAAAATGAACAACAAGGTTTTTTATTTTACCTAAAAATGTATTATCTGCAATTTGTCAGCGTCCTTGAAATGTACATTTTTGTGTTCATCTTAGTTTTACTGATACTGGTTTGGACTTTCCAATCAGTATATAATATATCAATAGCAACATCATACCTTCAATTACAATAACTTGGCAAACAGTATATCATAATAGCTTTTCCTATGTTGAGACAACAGTTTTTTTAAATTATACCTGTATGACTGTTGGACTAATAGTCAGTGATCTGCAAATCTGTTGATTAAAGTAAAATGTATTTTATTTTAAAGTCTTGCAAGATAGGTTATTAGCTCCTTCAGTTTCAAATGAGTGAAACACCATCCTGTACTCACTAGTGCAAATATTGTTCACATATATTGCATAATAAAATAATAAAAATATCAAACCAAAAAAGTACTCTCCCACAAATTTGAAGAGCAGTTCTAAAATGTAGCGTGCAAAGCACATGCAAGGACATAGTTCTCTCAGTCCCAGGAGAGAGAGGCCTAATCTGTCTCCCACATGTTCTATGGCATAGGTTGTGGTTTGTGTAATGGCCACCCAGGCCAGTTAACAAGGCTTGAATTAAGCCAGAGAAACCAGATGATTAACCACAGGAATGTCCAACCCATTTGTTAATGAAGATAAATGTTGAGAGCAATGTGGAGCTGGACTGAAGGCTGGGTGGCAATAGTGTCTTATCTGTCCTGTAATATGTCTCATTTTCCTAAATGTGTGATTGTCGGCAGGTATCCTGGAGATCAGGACAGTGTCTGAGGGGGCATACTGGCTATCAAAGGCGTGAAGAGTCAGTATTATATCTCTATGAACAGGACTGGACATCTGCAAGGCAAGGTAATATTTTTCCTCAGTGAGAAAAGTCATACACTGTCAGCTCAGCCACAGTCAAGCACTTTTAGAATTTTTTGCTAAATATGAATTTGAATAATTAAGATCAAGAACTAACAGCAGATTGGAATGTATTAATGCTGTGATGTTTGTCTTATCCTTTACAGAGGATCTACAATGAAACCTGCAACTTCAAGGAGGTTTTCCTAGAAAACTACTTCAATGCTTACTCCTCTGTAAAGAGGACTAATAACGGCAAAGAAATGTTCATAGCCTTGTCTCAGAAGGGAAAACCAGTGCGAGGGAAGAAGACCAGGAGGGAGCACATAGCATCCCACTTTATCCCTATGAAGTGCAGAGAGGAGGAAAGGAGGGTGGACTAAAAAACCATGGGTCGCAAATTGTGTATCATTTCAATCACATATTATATATGTTAACAGAGACATATAAACACATTACCAACATGATGCTCCACTCTCCATGTGTAGATTTATTATGTTATGTTCATAATTTCAGATGGGCACATTAAACTACTCCAAACATCCTCAAATAAGATTCTGAAACAATACTGAAATATTTGAAATAGCTTCACCTGGTGCACAGACTGTAAAACCAACAAAAAGTCTACTCAATATTCTTATTATTTTAAGTTAAATATTATATTTACTTATAAAACAGTTAAGTATTTTCTTATAAAACAGTAAAGTGTATTACACACAGTCGGGACTGTATCCTTTTCCAAAGATGACACCCATCCAGATGAGGAGACCTGTATGATCAACAGAAAGGTCCAGAATAGAGATTTGGCTTGACAAAGATGTGCTGAAGCAAGCTGGACTTGTCTTTTTTAATGGTACAATTGTCCAGAGCACACATAACTGAGGCACAATGAATTACAATAGCATGTTCAGTAAAACTAAAGTGTGTATGACCTGTGAATCATCTGTTTTGATCTGTCTGTCCTTCTTGCATTGAAACCTCTGTTCAAGTGCATTGTAAATGTTCCCTCTTAATTATCAAGGTGTGATTTTGAAATGCTAAAATATTCTGTTGCTGCTGAAAATACATCCAGATTAAAATACAAAGTGAACAACATAATAAATGTGCATGCCATGCAGTCTCTTCACTAAAAGAGCACATATTTATTTATAGGGAGATTTTTTTAGTTTGTGTTAAGACATTCCCATTTTTAGTAAGCATGAATATGACAAAAATGTACCAGAAGCTCCATTTATTTTGACAACACCTAATCAAACACTCATTGCAATCTCAAAGGCCAACTCTACATGCTACCACTGCAATTTCCCAATACTGGAGAACATTACAGTGCATTGTCATTCATGTTTGTAAGTTATTTGTTTTATAAAACAGATGAGTGTCCATTTCCCTTACAATGTGCATTGTTCTACCTGGATCATAGAATGTGCAACTGTTGAAGTATAGTATTAAAGACTGCAATAATGGGTTATTTGATCACTAGGGGTATGAAATACTCCAAAACAAACTCACAGGAACTATTTCATGAAGTTCTTTAGGCTAACATATTAACAAGAAACTGCCTTCTTACACATCCAGTAGAAAGAAAGCAACAGTTATCTTTTGTGTCATTTTTCTAATAATCACAAGAACTTTTTCCTTCTTTGGTCTGACAGTTTTTTAGAAAAATATGAAACTCTTTGACTTGCAAAATGTACCACTCTGCATGTCAGCAAGCCATTATTTCACACCAGACGTCTGGTAACGTGTGAGCAGTGTTAATTCTTAATGGATTTGGCAGTACTAGCAACGATTTCACATTATTGGAAATCATTCGATTGTGAGAAATACTGCTTCATGCAACTTCAGGAAGAAAGTCTGCATATGAACCGTGCCTTTATTCTGACACACATGAAACTACGAAGCTGAGCAACAAGTTGTGGCTTAAGATGAAGAGAGAATTGTACTCTGCTGACACACTGTGATTAAAAAAATCAACACACACTCGAAAACTCAATAAATCAAATTTGAGAAATATTTTTGATAAAGTTTTTTTACTATGTGCATGCCAACCATTACTAAGAATGTTGACCTTGTTATTCAATCATAAGTTTATAAAGAGGTGGTATTATGCTTTTTGGCTTTTTCCCTCTCCTTTATTGAGTTATATATCTTTTTGGTGCATGTAACAGGTTTGCAAAGTGAAAAAGCCCAAAGTCCAGCCCAAAGGGAGTTCCCATCTCCCACAGAAAGCTCTGCTCTGCTTAGTTTGTAGTCCAGCCCTTCACTTCCTTTACTTGTGACGTCACAATGAAATCGCGTCAGAAAGCTTGTCAAGCGGCTAGCAGGGTCAGGCACGCCCTCAAACCAAGCTAGTCTGAGCGGAGGCCCTTCACTCGCCTTTGTTTGGGTTTCCATTGTAGAAATGTTTTTTTTGTATCACCTCCGTCGAGGTTCCAAGCGAGCTGAGGGAAACTAAAATGTAACGTGAAAACACAACAGACTGCTGATTGGTCAGAGAGAATATTCTCTATTCACTGCATCATCATTGTGTGCGCCTGACAGTGGCCACCAACAGAAAATTTTATATTTTACTGTTTTCGTATGTAATTTCATCACTAAATCCACTTCTGAGAATTTTTGAGGTGAGAAATCAGCTGTGTAGATTTTGAATATTGACAGTTTTATGAGAAGTGATGCGGAACAAAAATGTGCTTGAATATTTTCGGAGTTGAGGAGCTCTGCAAGTGGCTGCGGGGGAAGCCTGTGCCAACCCGCGAGAGGAGCGTGTGAGGCCGGCCAGCCGCCCGTTCACAGAGCCCTCTGCTCCCACCGTCACACAGACCACTGCAGCAACAACGGCAGAGGAAAATACAGCTGGAAGGTTTTCATACCGCTTATCTGTCTTTACATTCTGAGGAATGTTGAAACGTTTTAACTTAAAAAAGAGAAAGCTGTGTGGATCGCTGGTGTGTGTGTCGCATTGAACATTACGTCGCGGCAGTTGAGTGTGGCGTTGCTATGACGACAAGCTACGTACTATCTCTGGGTACTGCAATGGAAAACAGAGCAGGGCCGAGAAGAGTCGAGGCTATCGATTTGCGCTATGGTAGTATTTTTCGGCAAGGCAGCATAGATCGTCAGAACACCGGCAACAGTTCGACGTTTAGTCCTAAAAGACGATGCAACTCCAACTCTGTTTGGGCCTGGAAATTCACAATCACAACCTGTAAGTATGCTTTATTGGTTGTGAATTATATTTAAAATAAACACGGCAATGTAACTTCACAGACTGTTCAAGTGCGGAGTTGTTGTAAACGTTGGCTAACACAGCTAAAGTTAAAACTATAATGCTAATGTTACACCTGATGTGAAAGTTACTGAGCAAACGTTCAAATTGTTTGTCCAAATTTTATGTAAAATTGAGTTGAAATATGGTGATTTTTACAGTGGTTTATGGTAAAATATGGAACAATGATGTTGTGTGGTTGTGAACTTGTGAGTAACTTATACCATCTGTTACGGTCGCAGTCTGAAGCGGCTTTGATTTGGATCACACTTCTGATTGGCTAGTAGTCCTTACCTGGGAACTGCGCGTGTGCAACTCCCAACAAAGATTTTGTACAAGGAAGATGCATCCCTCTGTAGCTCAAGAGTGGAGCGTACAACACACAGGGTGAAAAGAGGATGTTTTGGTGCCACCAATTAACCTAGCCTGCATGTCTTTGGATGGTGGGAGGAAGCTGGAGCACACGGAGAGAACCTGCAAACTCCACACAGAAAGGCCGGGGTTTGAACCCATGACCTTCTTGCTGTGAGGCAACAGTGCTAACTGCCTAGACCTAACCTAATCTTCAAATATTATTTGATAAAAGTTTCAGCCTCTAAATCTATAATTCCTGTAGATAAAATGTATCACACACTGAGTAACTACACTGTCTTAAACTCTGATATTACAGCAATCCTCTGGAAATATTAAGCAGTCCATTTTACAGCTTAGCTGATTTAATGATAGCATATTCAAATCTGATAATGTTGTCTTTAAAAAGATTGAATACACATTGGAAAGAAACATTTGAGAAAACATTAGCATCCTTGGATAATTCTCAATGCATGATTTACATGAATAAGATCAATCAATCTGATCAGGGACAATGAGATGTGGTAATACAACAAGAGGATAAATCTATTCATTTATGATGGCAAATAAAAATACACATTGTCAAATGTTATATTAATTCCATTAATTTGTTTGTATTGAGTATGAATGCAGTCTGTTCGGTGCAGAAAAATATCGCAGACATATTGACAGGGTGCCTACACCCTACGTGTCAGAGTTTGCTTCTCGGTCCTATCCTGCAGCCACACACTCTCATCCATAGCCCTCTGCATTATTATCTCTATCTGTCCCTGTCTCTAGCCACGACTCCATCAGCTGTCCATCAGATGCCCTCAAACTTTCCCTCCTTTCCCCATCACCTGGCTGCCCGAACCATCTGTATACCTATTCCCACTTCTCTTATCAGCCCTTCAGTTCCCTGGCCTACTGTAGCCACCCCTCACCTGCAATTTCTTCTCTCAACAGCCACTCATCAGATATACAAGTTCACCTCCTTTTTTTCCTTGCCAGATTGTATGTTATGTTACTTTGTGCTTCATGTCTTAGCTCTATTGCATCTGTACCTGTAATCTGTTTACCTGAGACCTGTGTCTGGAACCTATTTCTGCCTGCCAGACCTGTGTGTTTGAACTTTTCCTTTGACCTTTTGCCTGTTATGGGACTTTGGATTCCTGTCTGCTTCTTATTGTATTTCTTTGACTGTGTTGGACAGCCTTATGGTTTTGACCCTTGCCTGTCTCCCATCTCATATGCCTCAATAGTCTGCACTGGGTCTTTCCCCTGTATTCCTGCTACCCTGCTTGCCACAGTTGTGAGATTACTCACATAAATACGTATGAACACATGCAGGCACACCCCCCTCTACCCCCCAACACAGAGCACCAGCTTTACCTTTTGCATGGGTTCACATCTGGCTTGGAGAACCCCCTGTCAGATAAAAACAGTCAAATTGAGAGCCAACCCCTAAAATACATTTGACCCAAACAACATCTGAGTAAGGTGAAGGCTTCTGCCAAGTCACGCAAAGTTAGTCTTAGCAGATAATTTGTAACATGCTCAAAATGTAAACACATTTCAGACTCAAGGCTGTGTACTCCCAGCAGGACGAAGAGGGGCTGAAGCCAATGAGAATGAGGGCAAATTGTCAAGACGTAACCCAGGAACGCCAGACATATAAATTATACTTACATGGTATTCCCAGACGAACATATTTTGTTTAATAAAATGCTCCTGAAATCACAAATCATTGTAATACTTTTTCTTCTTACAACATGTGGGATTCCCGTGCACTTTTCTTCATCTGCTGTTCATTAGTTATCAAAACTCAAAATTATGAAACCAGCTGTACTCTTGGCAGCGTCTTGACAGTGTCTTTACAGTAAAAAATATCACCTTGTAATGTCATCACTGAACGTATGCAAGTAGATTGTTTCAACAGCATGTTTTGTTTGCAAAACAGTTGTTATTTTGTCTTAATAATTACATATCTGTAATCGCTTAGCAGATTGAATCATAACTTTGGGTCAAATGTAAAGGTTAATAATAATGGAATCAAAAATTCTATATTAGCTGATAGAACATCAATAGTGGTCTGCTGTGGTTTTAAACCACAGCAAAAGTACACTTTTACAAATTACATTACATTGTTAGTATTGTTTGTTCATCTCTATACTTCATTTCCTTTGTTCAAATAAGCAGCTAAAGGGCTACTGTGTAGTTTGATGGACCTCATGGGATGAATAATGACTCTTTGACAATGATTTACTATTCATGGCAATGTTTTAGAACAGCAGTGTTATATTTGCATTGTGTGGGGGCATGAACACAAAAAACATGTGTCCCATATTGTAAACAGGATGTGTAGACAAGGTCAAAGTCACTGGCTGTGAAGAGCACTGCAGGGGAGGATGGAGTGAGACAACCAGAAAGGAGAGGATGACAAAGTAAGTCAAGTGAAAATAAACAGAGAGAGAGGCTTGAAAGTCTCGTGCGATGTGGAAAGGTGGTCTTGGCGCAGCGGGAGAAAGGGGAGGTCCTCAGGGGGAGGGGGAACACGCAGTTGAACTTGATGCATTTCAGGGCTGTAAACTTTCATTTCCCCAGAGGAAATTGTTATGCAACGAGGGAAATTCTATGTTTGCAGACCTTAGTACGGAACCCCCTGGAACAGCAGGTCATTGTGAAAGAGGGCCGGGACCTTCAGCAACTCACCACAACATCGCACTTTCCCTGACAGTAAATCCACACAGAGAGATATAAAGTTATGATTAAAATCATTTTTAATCACCTACAACTTTTAAGACTTGAAAGACTACTCATTTATTCATTACTCTACCATGACATTGAAGTAAAAAAAGACATCTGGCACTGCTGGCTTTCAAAGGCCATTTTAACTATGGAACATTAGGAAATTACTGCGGACCACCAAGTAAAACTTAAAACAAAAAACAAAAATCAAAATGAAGTAAATAACACTTTAGCAGTCAAATTGTACTTTCTTAATAGACCAAAGTAGATATGATCATTTTAAAGATGAACATCCTAAATGAATCCATTTATTACTGTTGCTGGTCGCATGTACCAGTATGTAGTGGCTTACATGGGATGATTGGTTTATTGTTAACACAAACAAAAGTCTTACAGCTGGATTCCATCGGGCACGGTCGTGTTATGGCTGCAATGTGGTTTTATTTCACCCTCTGCACTACTTCACATCCCACCAGAAGCTTTTCAAGAGAGAAGCATTTTACCTTCCCAGGGTTTTTAATTTTGAAAATTGACCGGATTCTCTATGCTATTTTTGTGTCTGATTTTAATTAAACCAACCGTGTATTCTCCGCGGACAGTCACTTCTGGAAGGCTTCTGAAACCCGCTGTGGCGCATCTAGTGAAATCATTAACATTGTCTATGGCGGCAATCAGTGTTCCGCGTTTCAGCTGATGATGCTTAGATAGCTTTTTTAGTCTAATAAATAAACAAAAAAAAATCACAAGATGTCAATAAAGGAAATCTTCTTACACCTATTTTTCTTATCTATTATTAACTAAATATTGTGAACTACTATTGCCTTGTTAACAATTTGTAAAACACACATCATTTAAACTCAACAGAAACAAAATAAACTCACCAAAAGCTTCTTGGTTAGTCTTTCCAGTGTTCCAACAATCACCATCTCTGGTTTGGTCGAAATAAACCTGTTAGGGATCAGGACAGAATGGACACAGACCAAGAAAAAACCAGGACACTCACCGTCAGCCGGGCTGTCACCACAACAAAACCCTTAATTCACAAAGTTACATTTGAATATATTCTGTCTCTACACACTGTGGCTGCCTTTCTGATGTCCGGGCACCCTCTCACTCCTCTCCTGTTCCCGCCCAGAGTCAAGAGTCTTGGTTGGAGCCACTGTATTTGTCAAACTGGCCACTTGTCAAACTGGACTCTGTCTGTCTCTGAGGCTGTTTGGCCCGGCCGTAATCCCTATAAAGTCTGCTGCTGAGCCCGGTTCCATTGCATGCTCGCCTGCCTCCAGTATGGGCTCAGTCAGCTAATAGGACCGCTAAGTCAGCTGCATGGCTAACTGAGCTAACTAGCTTATGGCAGTTAGCAGCAGTTATATCCTGAAATGTGACAAGATGCTAGGTTTGGGTATCATTTAAAATTTTATGATACTGATACCAAAACCAGTACCCTTAAAGTGATATTGATACTAATAGAGTACTTATATTTTACATATTATTTATTTATTCAATACCTTGCGTAAAATGACACCTGTTGAAACCATAGTAGTTGATTGGTAGCCTATTATTATTTTTATTGTTGTTATGGACAAGCAAGGTTATCTTTGTTTTTTTCTTGTTTCAAATAAATAATATATAAAAGTATATAAAAGTATTGGGAAATTGTATCCTCCTCAGGTCATCCTCATGGGTAGTATTATAGGGAGAAAGACAACAGATTGCGAGTTTTTTTATATTTGAATAAGAGAGAGAAATAGTTCAGTGACCAAATTAGTAGCGGGAAACGAATATACATTTGATGAAAGTAAACAACAGAAAATGATTTTGTTAAATTTTGATCAATAAACTGTAGTGAAAGATCTCCGCGAGTGCTTTTTCCTTTATTGGCGAGTTGCAAACCTCCTCCAAATACGACAGTAACAAGTATAAAACCAGTAATGAGTCGGTTAAAACAAGTCACTAAACTACACTAAAGACTCTAAAGAAGCAAACAGAGGAAAAGAGAGGCTCCACGTCCAGCCAATCAAACCGACTACACCTGAAGCAGCCACAGCTGCAGCGCCGCAAAAGCGTTTAAAGAGGTGGTATTATGCTTTTTGGCTTTTTCCCTCTCCTTTATTGAGTTATGTATATTGTTTGTGCATGTAACAGGTTTGCAAAGTGAAAAGGCCCAAAGTCCAGTCCAAAGGGAGTTCCCATCTCCCACAGAAAGCTCTGCTCTGAACTGCTTGAAAACAGTTCGTTTGTAATCCAGACCTTCACTTCCTCTACTTGTGACATCACAATGAAAAGGCATCATAAGGCTTGCCAAGCCTGTGCCAACCCACGGGAGGAGCGTGTGAGGCCGGCCAGCCGCCCGCTCACAGAGCCCTCTGCTCCCGCCGTCACACAGACCGCTGCAGCAACAACGGCAGAGGAAAACACAGCTGGAAGGTTTTCATACCGCTTATCTGTCTTTATATTCTGAGTAATATTGAAACATTTTAACCGTAGATATATTTTAAGAGCTGGTGTGTGTGTCGCATTGAACATTACGTCGCGGCAGTTGTGTGTGGCGTCGCTATGACAACAAGCTACGTACTATCTCTGGGTACTGTCTGCAATGGAAAACAGAGCAGGGCCGAGTAGAGTCGAGTCTATTGATTTTCGCTATGGTAGCATTTTTCGTCAAGGCAGCATAGATCGTCAGATCACTGGCAACAGTTCAATGTTTAGTCCTGATGGTAAGATGTGGAACAATGATGTTGTGGACTTGAGTAACTTATACCATCTGCTAGGTTACGGTCGCAATCTGAAGCGGCTTTGGTTTGGATCACACTACCTTGTTTCTTACGACCCGCCCTTCTCTGCTTCTGATTGGCTAGTAGTCCTTACCTGGGAACTGCGCATGTGCAACTCCCAACAAAGATTTTATACAAGTAAGATGCGTCACTCTGTAGCTCAAGAGCAGAGCGTACAACACATAAGGTGAAAAGAGGAGCTGCAGCAATGTGCAGTATGAGAAAAATATGGTGTTTTTTGAAAATTAAACCATGTAAACCTGTTCTGGTACAACCCCTAATTAAGATTTTGAACCTGAAAATGAGCATAATACCACCTCTTTAATTGATGTGATGGAGCGCAGTGATCAATCAGTGACAAGTAATGTGAATAGCAAACAAAAATGTACAGAGAAGTGTTAAATGATACCAGAAGATGAAACCAACAAAAGCCAAGCTTGTGGTGATAAACTTGCAACAGAGACGAACATGCCTGAGACCGCAGCCGAAGGTGAGCAGCTGTTAAAATCATGTGTGGACTTTCTGTGTTTTGCTTGCGTATTTGGCTGCAAGCAAAACCATACAAATAGTAATTTTTTGCCGCAATCTGGTTACAAAAAGTATCGATTGAAATACTGGTTTGACTAGAGACGTTTCGATTCTACACGATACTGGGCTGTTTCGGTCAATACCATGATGGTATCGAGTAGCGATTCCCATCCCTACAAGATGCCCCCTACATTTTTAGACTCTGAATCCGACAGGTGAAGAGTAGTCTCAATCCTTACACACTGTACCTTTTAAAAGCACCGTACTTAATATTTATTGCGCTGTACACCTAACCACATAAATTCTTGTTGGTGTATTATGTTAATACAGGTGATTTTTCCAAGAATACACATATTGTGGGCAAAAAAACCTTTTGTTGCTCCAAACTAGTGTGTACGCATCTCCTTGGAGTTGAAGTTGAATTTAATGGAAACTTCCTAGCCATGACAAAATAACCAAGGCTGTATATTTCATTCATTGACCCAACTATGGTAGCAGTTGCCGCACCTAACATAAAAGTGGAATACTAGCTGACCCCACCCACAGAATACATATAATTAGTCATCAGGGTAGCTAATACCAAAATAATTTTGGTAACTGAAATTAAAAATATTGACATTTTGTGACTGTAACCAACCAAGTTTGTTTAGTATGATTTCTGAGGCATCTGATAGCCATTTGCCTGTTCAATAGCTAACATGCTGACACTAACGCTAGTGACTGACAGCCAGAAGAGATGCAAGACGGCGTGCTGACATCACATGTTGCTGTAAATGCTGCCCTAAGAGGGCTTTCAAAACTAACTCTACTTTCATAGAGACTCCTTCACTTGAAAGTGATGCCTTCTGAGGCACCTGTCTATCACGGTAGCAAGCCAGTGAGGCAACTGCTTTCTGTTTCGAACAGAGCCACTATGTGAGGTCTACTACACATACCAAGCCACCACATAAGCATCTGCCCCCACCTACTCCCCACACCGTACATTTTTAAATATTCTGGCTGGGGATATAAAATCGTAAAAAAATCGTGGGTGAACATCCTTTAGATTTTTGGTTTAAAAGCCACTAAATCATGCTCATATGTTACTAATCTGTTTGTGTCAGTATTCATTGGAGTTTTACATCCATCAAATTGAGGTGCTACTATGTGTCAAAGATACAAACCATTTTTATTTGTAAGTTTGACAATAGCCTTCTCTCCGCAACTGTCAACGTCATATAGAAGTGGTAAATTACTTTCACTCAGTTTAGGAAGTGTAATGTTATCTCTAGGGTCACATTTAGATAAAATCAGAAAAGGTTCATAGCAAATGAGTCACACTTGTCTTACACTTGGTAAAGTACATCTCCCACTTATCATGAATCCATCTGCTTTTAAGTCCGCTCACAGAGCCCTCTGCTCCCGCCGTCACACAGACCGCTGCAGCAACAACGGCAGAGGAAAACACAGCTGGAAGGTTTTCATACCGCTTATCTGTCTTTATATTCTGAGTAATATTGAAACATTTTAACCGTAGATATATTTTAAGAGCTGGTGTGTGTGTCGCATTGAACATTACGTCGCGGCAGTTGTGTGTGGCGTCGCTATGACAACAAGCTACGTACTATCTCTGGGTACTGTCTGCAATGGAAAACAGAGCAGGGCCGAGTAGAGTCGAGTCTATTGATTTTCGCTATGGTAGCATTTTTCGTCAAGGCAGCATAGATCGTCAGATCACTGGCAACAGTTCAATGTTTAGTCCTGATGGTAAGATGTGGAACAATGATGTTGTGGACTTGAGTAACTTATACCATCTGCTAGGTTACGGTCGCAATCTGAAGCGGCTTTGGTTTGGATCACACTACCTTGTTTCTTACGACCCGCCCTTCTCTGCTTCTGATTGGCTAGTAGTCCTTACCTGGGAACTGCGCATGTGCAACTCCCAACAAAGATTTTATACAAGTAAGATGCGTCACTCTGTAGCTCAAGAGCAGAGCGTACAACACATAAGGTGAAAAGAGGAGCTGCAGCAATGTGCAGTATGAGAAAAATATGGTGTTTTTTGAAAATTAAACCATGTAAACCTGTTCTGGTACAACCCCTAATTAAGATTTTGAACCTGAAAATGAGCATAATACCACCTCTTTAATTGATGTGATGGAGCGCAGTGATCAATCAGTGACAAGTAATGTGAATAGCAAACAAAAATGTACAGAGAAGTGTTAAATGATACCAGAAGATGAAACCAACAAAAGCCAAGCTTGTGGTGATAAACTTGCAACAGAGACGAACATGCCTGAGACCGCAGCCGAAGGTGAGCAGCTGTTAAAATCATGTGTGGACTTTCTGTGTTTTGCTTGCGTATTTGGCTGCAAGCAAAACCATACAAATAGTAATTTTTTGCCGCAATCTGGTTACAAAAAGTATCGATTGAAATACTGGTTTGACTAGAGACGTTTCGATTCTACACGATACTGGGCTGTTTCGGTCAATACCATGATGGTATCGAGTAGCGATTCCCATCCCTACAAGATGCCCCCTACATTTTTAGACTCTGAATCCGACAGGTGAAGAGTAGTCTCAATCCTTACACACTGTACCTTTTAAAAGCACCGTACTTAATATTTATTGCGCTGTACACCTAACCACATAAATTCTTGTTGGTGTATTATGTTAATACAGGTGATTTTTCCAAGAATACACATATTGTGGGCAAAAAAACCTTTTGTTGCTCCAAACTAGTGTGTACGCATCTCCTTGGAGTTGAAGTTGAATTTAATGGAAACTTCCTAGCCATGACAAAATAACCAAGGCTGTATATTTCATTCATTGACCCAACTATGGTAGCAGTTGCCGCACCTAACATAAAAGTGGAATACTAGCTGACCCCACCCACAGAATACATATAATTAGTCATCAGGGTAGCTAATACCAAAATAATTTTGGTAACTGAAATTAAAAATATTGACATTTTGTGACTGTAACCAACCAAGTTTGTTTAGTATGATTTCTGAGGCATCTGATAGCCATT